AAGTGATACTTGCCCAGTTAGGGCTGGAAGAAGGGAAAGGTCAGTATCAGTCACTTGTCTCTTCTGTCAGAAAAGCAGGATTCCCCTGAAGTCTCACTGCCCACAACTCTATCATGTGACCAGCTAGCTGCAGAGATGAGGGGAAAGTGAGGTTTAATGCTCTTTTAGTCTTTACTGTGGAGACAAACAAGAGTGAAGAAATCAAAAATGGAAACTGGTCTGCCATCCACTGATTTCGCAGCGTTGGCCAAGGATAGCATTTTGGTCACTTAAAATCCACTCTCATTTACACATTTTTCATGAAACACATTCGCACCTCCATAAAAGAGAGAATTCTAAAGTCTCCACCAATTCTTAAATTCTAGCCTCCTAATTCTAAACTTCTAATTCTAAAGTCTCAGCACCAGCATGGAGACCAGGTGCTCTGCACACTGCGTGGGCTCCTCTTTCAGGTACAGATATAGGTTCTCAGGTTCTGATGATTCAAACTAAAGAACAAGTTCTCTGCTAAGATGAAAAAGATGGAAACCACCAAACCTGGGGAGAATGAAGAACAAAACTCTCCTATGTCTTTCCTGGAATTTAAATGGACACTATCATGTAGAAACACTTTGGCAGGATCTAACTAATAAAGGTTTACATCTTCATTCTCTGTGGACCAGCAATTCTACTCCTAGGCAATTACCTGACAGAATTGGGAACAGATTTTCATCAAGACATATTCTAGAATGTTCAAACAGCATTATTTATAATAGCCTAAGACTGAGAACTACTGAAATGCCCAGAAATAGGATGAAACAGCATACAGAAATGAGTGCTCTATCTAAATCTACATACACTGTGGATGGATCTCAAAATAATGTTGAGTAAAAGAAGTCAAAGACAAAAAGTAAGTTCTGTGTCCCCACTTACAGAAAATTAAACAGCAGGTAAAACTGCTCTGTGGTCTTAGAAGTCAGAATAGCAATTACTTTTGGGGTAATTACTAGTGCTTGGAAGAGAGCACTAGGGTGTTGGTGAAATTCTATTTCTTCATCTGGGTGCTGTTTGTGTGGGTGTCTTCAATTTCTGAAAACTTATTAAGCTGTATGCTTTTTCCTATGTGTGCATCTGTCTTTGTGTACCCTATTAAAAATAACAGAAAGTGTGTATTTTGGCTTTTTTGTCTGGGTCCTGGCACAGAAATCCTAAAACCCTTGTAATTTCCTAAATGAGAAGAGCACTAGAAGCATCTTTGTTCTAAGAGTTGGTCTTTGATCCTGATTCCTGACACAGGACCTAAAATCCCATCTTTGTTCTAAGAGTTGGTCTTTGATCCTGATTCCTGACACAGGACCTAAAATCCCTGGAAATTTCTGAGGTGACAGGAGTGTCCTTTGTTCTAATAGAGGCCCCTGGGTGGAGTCCTCTGGGGGACAGGGTCAAGGAACAAGGCAGTGGTTCCCTTATTCTGTCCTCTGTCTGTGGGATCAACAATCTTTTGCATCCCATTCCCTGTCAGAAGCCCAAGAATTGCCTTCAGGGTTAAACAGTAACAGACCAATATTGGCCAGGCTTGAGATTTTAAGCGACACAATTCCTTCAATTATTTGTTAGGCTTCTAGTCAAGTCCATAACTTACCAAGGGAATCTTTAATGAGTTTTGTAACTAAGGATTAACTTGTCCCCAACAGGCAATATATTTGACTTTTAAAAAATCAGAGCAGTAAAAAAGATAATGTTAAGATCCTATTCTTACCTCCATTCTTAGTTTCTTGTGTACATTTCAAGCATTACTTTTTTGAAAAATAGGTAAAACCGTGCACTAGAATATTTAAGTTTTCTAGGGCTGGTTACTGTGCTCAACTGCAGTTGAGGTGATTCAAAGTGACAGCTGCAAGCAGAGATACCACCTATTGCCCATCTTTGCTACCTTGGAACTCAATCTTAATTCCTGATAAAGCTGCCTCTGTCCTGACTCCATTGTGCTTGCCTGAGCTTGCGCATACAAAATTGTTTGTTTCCACCCAGCAAGAATCCGAGATGTGGGACTTGGAGAATTGAAGTTGTAAACTACAAGAAACTCTTATTTGCTTGTTTCTACCATCAGATAAATTATCTCTAATCTTGATCACCTTAATCAGATCCTGACACTACCTTGAAGGATGGCTGAGAGTCACAGAAACACAGCAACAGAAATAAAAAAAAAATTCAAAAACATTGAATACTTTCTTTCTATACTGTTTCTGAGACTTCTCATACAATACAGCTTTGGTTGCCATGTGGTCTGTATCCAAGGCCCAGTAACAGACAGCAGTTTGAGTTTCATTACTGCTTAACAAGTTGGTCATTAACTTTCTAATTAGGAAGAGTTTCACTACTGGCTACCTTTACCTTCAGAGAATTTCACATTTTTTTAAGATTTATTTTATTTATTCATACAGAACCGGGGTACATGCCAGAGATGCGGAGGGTGAGAGGATTCACCAGAGACAGATCAGGGAGCAGAACAGGCAGATCAACGGAGTACACTGCTGAGGGGAGCAGCGGGCAGGTCAGGAGAGGTCTGCCTCGCCATGTGGATCTCCTCCAGGGCAGGTGGGGATCGAACTCATGCGAAAGTGGCTTAAGCTTCTTTGTGCTGTGCTTTAACCCACTGCGCCACCAGGGAGGGCCCAGAATTCCACATTTTAATGTCCTACTTCTGATGCCAAATTATTTGACCGAGAGGAATGGGTTTGGCTATAAGTTACAGAATCTGTAAATGGCTTAAACAAATGTGTCCTCTCACTCATGGAGTAGCATGGGGTAAGAATGGAAACACAGAGGCCAGTTGGGAAGTCCTCACAGTAGTGCAAGGAGCAGACCACGGTTTCCTGGATGTCAATTATATCTCAGTGAAGCTGGGGTGGGGGTGGGGGGCAGAAAGAATAGCTTCTAGAATTTTGATTTGAGCAACTAAATGGATGGCAGTGCCAGTCACTAAAATGGACAAAATGAGAGAGGTACATGTTGGGGGTGGGGGTGGCATGTGAAATTAGTATTTTAGTGGCTAAGTTAAATTTGAGATGCCAGTTTTAGACACACAGAGGTCAGGCAAGCAGTTATTTAAAGAAGTAAGGCTTACAGGGGGAGCTCATCATTAGATATAAATTTTGGAGTCATCTTCTTATAAATACTATGTAAAACCACAAGATTAGATGAAAATTCCTGAGGAGAATGGGTAGAGAAGAGAAGGAACTCAGGATAAGACTCTGGGAACTTCAGCATTTATAAGTTGAGCTGAAAATGAGAAGTCAGTGAAAAGAACTCAAGAAAAATTAGCCAGGGGGATGGGAAAAGGAACAAGAGCGTGTGGTATCAGAGAACAAAAGAAAGTGTTTCAAAATAGCAGTGGTTCCTTGTGAAGAATAAAAGGAACAAGGAACAGAGGAACAGAGAAAGTGCCACTGCATTTGCATGCAGACTGTAGCTCCAACAGCACAGGTGGAGAGAAACAGAAAGCCAGCAGAAAGCAGAAAGCGAGCTTCGCGCCAGCAACGGTCCATTAGAGATGGAGCAGTTGGCCGTTGTTCAAGAGAGCAATGAGAGGCTAAAATCAACAGAAAACAGTGCAAGCATTGGCTAAATAGAGTGAGGACACTACCAGACATGTGTTTCTTGTAGGGACAGATGGTATCTTGTTTGTACTCGGGGCTCCTAGCACAACTACCAAGTACACATTAGTTCTCAGGAAATATTACTGAATTAATGAATAAATAAGCAAATGGAGAAAGGATGGATTGCAAGTGCAGGATGAAAGTAATTAAACTAAGCAGATTTCAGAGGAAGGAAAAGGGTCTTCTAACAGGGTTTCTTTAGGGGCTTTGGGGTCCTAGGATTTTTCTCCTGGATGGGCTTAACAGAGTTCCAACTCAGATGAAGATGGGAGAAGGATTAAGGACCCATCGAGAGTAGTTGCCTTGGTCAACTTTTGAGCACTGATCGGCTACAGCAGACTGCAGGGAGGCTTCCTCCAGCATCTACTTACCTAACCACACTCCCGGTCTTTCTGTATCTAGGCACATAAAAAATAATAATAATGACTATGTATCTTTATTGACACGAATGGGGGAAGGACTTTTTTTAAATGACAGTCTCAAATCATTTACTCATTTACTCAAAGACACTCATAGAATGGCAATCTTGTATTGAAGTCTAGCATGAGGGGAAGATTTTGCAGGATTTATCCTCTTCTTTTGTTCACAGATCTGGTTTTTGGAAGCGCTGTTTCTCAAAGCAGCTGATATTACGAACTGTACAAATAAGCTGGCATTTGAACTGGTGCGTCCATATTTCTACAAGAGGCTGTAGGTGACTAAATGGTCATTGCAGTTGATGGTGGCTTGTTGAATTAAACAAGGTGGAAGGAGGCCAATCTGGGGAAAACGGGACCTAAGACCAGTCCCAGTGCCTTCCAGCCGGTTCACCAGGTTTGGAATTAGGATCCCCATGATGTTTCTTCCCAACTTGCAATCTGTTTAGTTTAATTACTTTCAACCCTGCATTTGCAACCCATCCTTTCTTCCGTTTGCTTACTTATTCATTAATCCTATAATATTTCCTGAGAACTAATGTGTGCTGGGTAGGACTGCGGCTTGCACCTTTATGGTCGGAGGTCCTATGACAGCGGAGACACCTACACAGGGGTAGGTGGAGGCCCGGGCGGAGCCAGTTTTGGCGGCCGCCCCGTCAGTATTCACCTTACAACGTCCAGTCCCAAGCCCGCTAGTTCCAGGCGGCTTCCGCGGTTACCGACCAACCTGCCGGGGCTCAGGGGGTTCAAGTGGCCGAACCCGGGCTCGGGCCGTCTTCCACCCGGTGGAACTGCCGACCGGCCTTCGTTGGGCCGGACTCGTTTACACGTGGACTCACCTCAGCGGTCCACACTGCCGGGCGCCGGGAAGGGGCGTGGCCTCGCGGCGCCAATGGGCGGGCTGAAGAAACGCGCGTGCGCAGGGCGGGTCTGGTGGGGCGGGGCCGCGAAAAAGCGTTCTGAGGACGGGGGCTGGCGAGGCTCAGGCTGGAGGGCTTCGCGTCTGGGGAAAGCTGGCAGCTGGCATCGCGCGGTGAGTGAAGCCGGGGGCAGCCGAGGCCGGAGTGCGGCCTCGGAGGCCGGGGAGCTGACCCCGAGGGAGGAGGTCCGTGGGATGGATGCCAGGGGTCCACAGCAGGGCGGGATTCGGGCGCCTCTGGGGGTATCGAGGCCTCGGGCTCAGCTCGCGAGGCTGAAGCAGCCTGGCCGGGGGTCTCGGCTCCCGGCCTCCTCGGAAGGGCAGCCGGCGAGGGCAGGACCCCGCTCCCGGGCAGTCGCCGCTCGGCATTGAGAAACCAGATGGGGCCGGCGGCCGGCGCAGTTCTCCGCCCTCTCGGGTGACCTGCCTCAGACCAGCGCGCGGCCTGAGGCGGCGTTGCTCTCCGGCCGCCCGCACGCCGGCTCCCTCGGGCAGACAGACAGGTCCTGCCCGGCCGGGCGGGCTTGTCTGCACTGTGCGGAGAATGGGACGGCCGGGGAAGCCGACTCCTCTGTCTTCCCAGTCTGGGCATGGCATCGCCACCCCGAGCCTTCCCCACCCCACGTCCAGGCTCACCTGTCACCCCTACCCACCGGACGACTCCATCACAGATCTCTGCTGCACCGGCTCTGCAGTCCCGGCCCCTCTGCTCTGGCCGCGTCTTCTCTCCAGGAATACTTCAGCAGCCTCCTGCCCGGTTCCTTGCATCCCTTCTTGACGCGCTTAGTGTGTGAAGCGCTGGGTGTGGACTTGTCACACATCTAATGTAGACACCAGGCCTCTTTGCCCCGTTCCCTTGCTAACGTGTGTGGATTCTCACTGCTCACCCGAGCTCTTGCACGGGGCTTTCAGGACTGGCCTCTTCACGGGCTCTTTTCTTTTTAACTCACCTCTTTCCACTACCCTGTGTCTTAAACCACGTATTGGCCCTTTTGGTTCCTGATTGGACCTAGTTCTTTAGGGGTGGGTGTTATATTATGGCCCTCAGTCTGAAATATGGTCCTTGAGTTGACAGTATCTTCCCATACTTCTGGCACTCCTCCGGGTATGTGTTGGCGCTTCTGTGCTACCCTGTGGTGTCTGTCATTTTCTCTTTTCCACCAGGCTGTCATCAGTGTGCAAAGAACCTGTCTGTGTTACTGTCCTGTCCGTGTGTCTTGTGTTGTGCCAGGCTGTTACTATGTTAAATAAAGAATGGCAGCACCTTCCAGATGAACAGACCATGTGGTTAAATGCCTGATTTTTCAGAATCAATGCTCAACGTCAGTCCAAGTAGTGGTTTCTTTGGCCTAGGAATTTGTCTTTTTTTCTTATCCTTAGTCTAGGATTTGGTGAGTGGCAGGTGGACTAGCTAGCGCCTGCCAGAGATTTTCTTTGCATTGGCTCTGGGTGCAGGATATCTGGATGTTGGTGAGGGTAGTTGCTTTGAGTTTGAATTGTTCACCGAGTCGGCCAACAATGGAGAAAAGCTACTCACAGCTGTTGTGGTCTTCATGGGAGGAGGCTGCCTCCAAACTCTTTATGTGCTGGTACTAACAACACAATGAGAAGGAAGGGGGGGTGAGGCCAACCCACTGATGGAGGGCTCCCAGGGAAGTTACTGTTCCAGCTGAGGCCACATCTTCTGTGATAAGGCACAACCAAGGCTTTCTATCTAAATTCAGATTTGAAGGCAGAATGCACCAGTCAGCTCAGCACTTTGTGGTAAGTTCAGTAAAGAGAGATAGAAAGAATAGGTTACAGTCTTCACAGAGGGAGGTAAAGACAAACACAGAAAAGGAGAACAGTTTCTGGCCATGTGTAGACAAGAGTATGAGAGGCTGCCCATGGAGCTCAGACAAAACAGTTGGTTTTGGCTGGAAGAATCCTGACGTGACATTTGAAGTCGGCCTGGAAGGAAGAGAGAGGATGAACAGATCAAAACCATGGAACTGGAAGAGGCTGCTGGAGCAGTGGGGGAACCCCGTTACAGCCCAGGCACTGTGGGAGACCTAGGGACAGTGGTCCAGCACTTCCTACCCTCCTAGGAACCCAGGCTTGTCTTTGCAAGGGATGTCTCAAAGCAAGGGTGTGCTCTGAAGTCTCCCTCAGAAATCCCTCCTTTGCATTTTTTTTCCAGGGTTACTTTTACAGTTTCTCCTGGGGTTTATCTAGGGGTCATGTTTGCACATGACCTTGAGCTAACTAGTTGGTTATGGATGATGCAACTTGTTCTTTGGGTAGAGGGAGTTGCTTGTTTTCTTTTGAATTCGACAGTTTAATGTGTTGGGTGGCAATCAGGTTCCCTATTCTCACTGCAGTCCTTGGGGATGGGGAAGGAGAGTTTCTCCTCTGTTCATAGATTTGACTTTTGTTCTGTTCTAGTTAAGTTATAAACACAACAACAACAGGAAACCAAAATGGGACACTGAAAATCAGTGGCTCTTGGCCATTATCCCTAGGAGAAAGGATAATTTGGTCCTATAGTTACTATGTTACTATTCACTTGGATGCTTTTTTGGTGGTATTTGGCTAGAACCCCCCCCCCCACCACCACCCCCTTACAACTGTACACCCCAATTTTTATGTTCTAAGTTTCCAGCTACAGATAGTGCAGTGGGTTAGTCGATCACTCAGCTTAGTACATTGATCAATATCTAAAAAAAAGATTTCTTTATTAATATGTAGAACTAGGGGGTAGGCCAGAGGTGCAGGGGGTGAAAGGAGTCACCAGAGACAGAATGGGGAGCAGAACAAGTGGATTTGCTGAAATGCACTGCTAAGGGGAGCACTGGGTGATACAGGAAGATCTGCTGCACCATGTGGGTCACCTCCCTGGCAAGGGATTGAACTCAGGCTGCAGCGGTGATAGTACTGAGACAACACCACAAAAGCAGTTTTCTTCAGTTGCATTGATATCAAAAACTTGTTGGCATATCTGTAAGGTGGTAATCTTCCTCCCCTCCCTCCCCCCAAGAAACATGGCACACCAACTGAAAAGCACCAACTTCTGCCCACTGCTGGGAATGTAGCTCAGTCCTTGGCTTCACAAAGCTCAGTCCAGCAATGAGGACTTATAGGTAAGCCTTGGTCACGTCGTGTTCATAGCTGTTAGCAGTGATGAATTGAGCATGTGGAACATATGGAAGAACACCTAAGCCAGCCTCGGAATTAGAGAAGGCTTACTGGAGTATGAGTCTGGTAGGTGCCTGAGGAATTGACTTCCCTCTCTAGTCTTACTGTCGTGAACTCTAAGATATGTGGTCAGAATAAGCTGCTGTGCTCTTGCCTGGGCAGTCACTCCTAAGAATAACTTATAACTTATTGCTTTCTGGTAACAGGTAAAGTGGGAATGGCCTCATCTGAGACTGACTGAACTCTTTTATTTGGGAAAATTGGAAGTGTAATTTTGTTCTTAAACTATTTTCTAGAGTAAGAGTGAACTGGAAGCCCATTTTTGGGTTCCATCCATATTAAAACAATTATGGGATATAGTACATTAAATACATATTTGTGAAAAATACAGAGATTTTAGAAGCATTAGTAAAGTAAATAAAAGTAAATAAATTTGTAAAACAAATAGAAGTCACTCCTAGTCTTTTGAGTCAGAAAATAATCATTGTTTTTCTGTTGTTCTGTTCTGAAATATATGTATATATGTGTGTACATATGTATATACATACACATACACACCCACATACACATTGCTTTTCTTTCACAAAGGTGAACTATTAGACTTTTGCAGCCTGTTCTTTTTCATTTGACATATATTAAACATATTTTCCTAATTTTAAGTGACACACTCTATTATGATGTCCCTACTCAGATATGGTTTTTTTAGCACCTGTAAGTTACACACCCAGCGACTATTGTCCTTAGGAGGGGCCATTGGAGACGATAGTGCTGATAGGCAAAATGGGTTTGGGAAATTTTCCTAAACATGGTCGGCCTTCTCCTAGGACTTCCCTTCATAACCTTTTTGGATGGCTGAAAGCAGCTGACATGCCTTTATTTCCCTCCTCAGGTACAGAGAGTAGAGATATTGTTGCTCCAGAGCTGAGTTCTGTGTGTAGTGTGTATGACCAGTATCATGTTCTCTCTTTTTAAAAAAGATTTATTTATGCACACAGAGCTAGAGTACAGGCCAGAGGTGCAGGGGCGGCGAGAGCCTTCACCAGAGACAGAGTGGGGAGCAGAACAGGCAGATGCACAAGGTACACTGCTGAGGGGAGCAGTGGGCGAGACAGGGGAGGTCTGCCTTACCATGTGGGTCACCTCCGGTGCCAGGGATCAAACTTGCACTGAAGTGGCTGTGGCCAGCCTGCAGAGCTGCATCTTAACCCGTTACACCACCAGGAAGTGCCCCATCATGTTCTCTTTTTATCGCCCTAGATTTGTGTCTGTGGCTACAGCTCACCCCGTAGAAATTACTGACTCTTGTTAGCCAGCAGAATCTGCTCTGCCTTTTCAGAAGTAAAAGCCAAAGACAGGTCTTTGTGTTTCTCCTACCTTGTTCTTTCCGTTCCTTTCTGAGGTTAGTCTGTCATCTCCCAGAAGGACCAGGACTTCCAGTTTAGCAAACAGTAAATGCCTACCTGAGCCTTGGTGGGGAATATGGATGGGAAAGATCAAAGTACAACCTGGCTTCAGGAAACATGCTGGCAGTGTCTTGTGTTGACCACAACTCATGGTCTAGCCAGAGCCTGGGAGTACCTGATGGAGTCCTAATTTTTTCCTAACTCTCCTTTCCCATGCTCTTTCAGAGTAGTTACTTTGCTTGTCTCTATCATATCCCTAGGAGAGGAAGAGGCCAAGTTAACTTCCTGTTCTGCATGCCGACCTTTATCTAACCTGCCTCATTGCTTCCCTTAAGCTCCTCTCAAAAAATCTAGAGCTCCTAGCTCTAGTTTTGCTACAGTGAATACCTCCCACACTGCTGCCAGATGAACTTTCCTGAAATTAAACTTTGATTTCCTTCAGGAATCTTCAGTGGCTCCCATCTATCCTTAGGAAACTTCAACTTCATTGGCCTAGCGTTGAAAGCCACATCTGTTGCAGCCTGGTCAAGCTTTGCAGGCTTTGCCAACTGTTCACTGTACTTCATGCCCTCTAGGGTCTGCCTGACGACACTCCTTGGCTTTCCTTCCCCCTTATCTGCCCCTGCCAAGTTGCTCACATCATCTCCCTTGTCCTTCAGACGCTGCACGCATACAGCTCACACATCTGTCAAGGCCCAGCTGAAGTGTCCTTATGCCTGTCAGTCTCTCTTCTCTGTTTTTCTCTTATCCAGAGGAAATATCTTTCTTTGAACTCTCAGAAGGTTTTATCTTTCTTTGGGACATCTCACTTCCAGGTTTTTATTTGTTTGTTCTCTCAATAGAAATACTTTTCACCAGAGAGAAATACTTTTCACCAAACCATGTTTCTTGTAGGCAGAAATAGTCTCTTCATCCTTAGGTGCTCCTGAGTTGCTTGGCATTCTGAAGGTGCTTCAGGAAATGTAGATCTGACCATTTGGGTGTGTGAGCCTAGAGTGCCCAAGGTCACCCCACACTCTGCCAGCAGAGTTGGCCTTGGGTCATTTTGACATGTTCTCTACCTCAAGTCTCCCAGGAACTCACTGTGCCTAGCCTGGAAAGAATCTTAGCACTGACGTTCTCACCTTCATGTTCTATTTTCCTCACCTCCCAGGTACCAGTGACCATGAGATCTCTGCAGCTGCTCAGAACCCCCTTCCTGTGTGGCCTGCTCTGGGCCTTTTGTGTTCCAAGAGCCAGGGCTGAGGAGCCCGGAGCTGGCATCCCCCACCCCGGTGGCGTGGGCCTGGATAAGCACACAGTGCACGACCAAGAGTACGTATTCTACTTGGACCGTGGTCTGGGCCCCACCACCTACGGCTGCAGCTTCCTTTCTATTTGTGTGACTTCTTGGTATTTTCCAAGGATGATTTTATTCCTTATAGCCACCTGTAGGCCAGATAGTCTTTCCATCCTCATATCACAGAAGGGACATCTTGGAATAATGATGCACTTGAATTAACTCAGTCTCTTTCCATGGACACACACACACACACACACACACACACACACACAGAGTAGGGGGAGAATCCAGAACATAGCTCAGGTTTCTTGACTCTGACCTTTCCTTTTTGTATTGACACATTCAAACATTAAATCACTTGTTGCAACTTTGTTTCTCAGCCAACTAGTGTCACATAGTTGTTATCCTTGAATTACTTTCAAAAGCAGATTTTTTAAATTGAAGCCTCCCAAAGTGTTATAACAACATTCAGATAATAAAGAGGAAAAGCACTCATCATAGGATCTTTCCAAGGCCAGCATAACAGAAAGACTATTTGATCTTTTTCCCCTGTTCCTTTGGTAGCCCTGCCTGTATCTGTCGTCCTTTGTGTGGCCTGCCACTGTTTGATTGTTTTTCTGGAAAGGCCAAGCTTTCCGATCTTGGACTTTAAAAAAAAAATTATCTTGAACTTCTCAGTCCTCAAGGTTCAGCATGATCTCAGTGTCACTACCATGTGGTCTGAGTCCAACTGTTGGTTTTTAGGCATATCATGGAGCATCTAGAAGGTGTCATCAACAAACCAGAGGCAGAGATGTCCCCACAAGAACTGCAGCTCCATTATTTCAAAATGCATGATTATGACGGCAATAATTTGCTTGACGGCCTAGAACTCTCCACAGCCATCACTCATGTTCATAAGGAGGTAGGTCAGGAGTGGCTCAGTGGGCAGCTTCTTGGAAAGGTCTCTGTTGGTTAATTCAGGCCCTAACCTTGACCTGTGTGGTCCTTGCATATCCCTATTACTATGCCTTTCTGCTCGCCACTCCATTCGGCCTCTTTTCCTGCTCACCATTCCATTCGACTCTTTTCACAAGGGGTGACCTGCTGAGCAGAATGCCCAGGCCTTGTGTCTTTAAAAGGTACTACAGAAATTTCTGCTGCAGACCACAGTTTGAGAACCAGCACTTATAAGATAGCCCATATTAATAATGTGAAGCAGGGGAGAAGAATGCGAATAGGGGGACCAAGGGCTGGGGGACTTGGAAGGAATTGAGGGTTTATATGATATTGCCCTGTACGCTGTAGTTTACAAGTCCCTTTCAAGTAATGCTGTTACTGCCTCCATTTTAGAGGTGAGGAAACAAATCAAAATCCTCTATTTTATGCTCTTCCTCCCTGCAGACTGTAGAGAGGAGAAGCAGGATCGTCAAGGTGGTGTGCTCTCACTGGCTGCCAGGAGGGCAGGTTATAGTTGCTTTGGAGGAGTGGGAGTGCATGTGGGTCTGTGGGAGAATGGCATGGCTGGTGCAGTGTTCAGGGAGACCCTTTGCTGTCAGCAGCAGTGTGGTAGATGTAAGGAGAGCCGGTGTCAGGGAGAGGCACTGGAGTCACCTGGCACATCAGGAAAGGGTGGGTGTAGGACAGGTGGCAGAGGAAGAAGCAGCCAAGGATGTGGAGAGCATTACCTCAGGGAGGCCGGCTGCTACTCCTGGAACGGGGGAAATGCTTTCCTGGCAGTGATCCTGACAGGTTCTATGGGTCATTGCTGTCATCTTCCTCTTGTTCTGACCCCAAGGTGAGGACCAGTACCTCTGTTTCCTCCTGTCAGGGCAAATTGTGTCCAGAGCCTGAGCTGTGAGCTTTTCTGTAGGATAGGTTTGCGGGTGGTGGGCCAGGAAACTCAGGTGTTAAGCTGTTATGAAGCCACTGAGCAAGGACCACTTTGGTTCAATCTTTCTTTTAACTGGCAAAGAATTTCTAAATTGGGTGAATTTAATGTATATGTGTCACGTGGGGATGGATTCCTACAAGTAACTGCGTACTACATTGGAGGTTTGTACACATGAGCATGGACATGTTGGACATTAGCCAAGTACTTCCAGTGAAATGTGCCACTCATCATTGTCTGATTTCTGTTTTGCAGGAAGGGAGTGAACATGCCCCGCCGATGAATGAAGATGAACTGATTAGGTTAATAGATGGTGTTTTGAGAGACGATGACAAGAACAACGATGGATACATTGATTATGCTGAATTTGCAAAATCACTACAGTAGAGCTAGTTGGCCATCTCCTCCTTACATGCAAATGTGACCCATTATAATGTGATTCCATAGTGCAAAATGACTCATTTCCAACTCTGCTATAGTAATTTGGTAAAAACCTGTAGCAGTTTGATACACTGGGATGAGAAAGAGAAATCAAGAGACATAGAAGAAAATGGGGCACACAGTCCCCACATTCTGGTAAATCTCTTAGTGGACAAGGACTTGATGAAAAAATCCTTTTAAGAATATTGGATAATTGGAGCTGAGTACTCAGGAACTTGACTATAGAGTTTCGCTAGTCTCTTGTTTTTGATTCATGCTGCCTGAAAAGTCAGACCTGTTTTGCCAAATGGGCATACTTTTCAGTAATGGTGAAAGGATAAGATGAACGCCAAACACTTCCCCTCATGGGCCCTGTCTCTTTAAGTAAATGTGGGCAGTATTCTGCAAAGTTCTCCTGGCCTAAGTGATTACTTGCTCTGAGTAAGTGAGTATTTATTAGGCAATTTCAATGCCACAGCATAAGGATGTCAACTGTTGAGTTGAGCTCACCGCAGAGTCTAAGCTTCTATGTGTTCTGGCACTTTGGAAATGGTACACCACTGACCTGAGTGATGACCCTTTTTCGGTATTTTGTAAAGCTACTGCCACATCCTTATGCTTTATTTCTTTATTCCTTGCTCCTTATGCTTTATTTCATCGTTAGTCTGAATTTAGATGTGTTCTCCAATCAATAGCAAATATTTTAGCCTCCTTAATACTTGTATTTAACTTCCGTTTCTAGGGATTCGTTTTCGTAGTTTAGAATCTATTAGGAACGTAGGGATTTTATCCCTTCTGCTTCATGTGGGGTTGAAACTACTGGCTGATCTAGCCTAAGCGAGAAGTGGAAAGATCACTCACCAAGCACCATGATTAACTGGATTCCAATTACATTTAGAAGGAATGTTTTTAAATTGCCTCTTTTGACCTGATTATGTGAATTCTTTCCAGTTAAAAAAAGGAGCCTACAAACTCTCAGTGGTGTGAATCTTCAGTAGTAGTGGAAAAGGAGAAGCAGCAGCAAATGCCATTGAGCTTCATGGATGTGATGAATATTCTGTGATAGAAAATCTGAAAGGATGCCTTTGTGGGAAAAATAACTACATAAAATTTGCTGTAAGATGTATAGAGACTTATTTTCTTTATTAAAAGTATTCTTATAAGAAAACATTAATTGTAAAAATGGTTTCCTGTGTCAAGTATTTGTGCAATCAGAGCTGAATTATAAGCTATTCTTGTAATACCCAGTTATTTTGAAAGCTTTATATATGAATTCTGGGTGTATGACCAATAAAGCTGATGTAACAAAGCAATTGATATTATCTACCTCAACTGCTTTTATCATGCAAAGGGTTTTATTAAATACAGATGTGTATATATATGTGCCTGCTTCCTGACCCTGTTATTGCCAGGTAGGTTCCCGATTTTCAAAGTCCCATTCCCATTTTAGGCATTTTTCCTTCTAAATGAAATCACTTTTTGGATTTTTTTTTTTTTGCTCTGGTCAAATTCAGAGTATGACAGCATTCTCTACCTTAGGAAAATACAGTGTTTTCTCCTTGAGTCTGGTGCCAAATTTTTATCAGAATATTTAATTAAATATCTTTATCGAAACCATTCCAAGTTCAAGTAAAAGTTTTTTGAAATGACACATTTTGTTCTACTAGTTGGAAAACGGGAGGGAAGGAGGTTACCAGCCCCCCCACCCCCACACACACACATACCTTGTACTAGGCTTTCACCCGCAGCTGCCCTTCTGGGTGGAGTAAGTGAGTGGACTCACAGTTGGAGGAGGTTCATGCTGTTCCTGCAGTCAAGCAGGGAACTGGGGAGGGAGAGAGCAAGTCCTTAGGAGGGCTAGTCAGACCAGACAGTCACCTTCCCTCATGGCTCACTGCTGTTAGCCATAATTCCATGCAGACCTGTGTGGTCCTGTTAGCCTGCCTTTCCCTTGTGGGAGAGTGGCGTCTGACACCAGGGATGCAGCGTGACTTGCCTGTCCTTGTATATTCTCTACGTGAGAAGCTGGCCTTCTGTCACAGACCAACTTAAGGATTTTTCAAAAATGTATAAAGAACATTTCTGCTGCTCATTTTGGCCCTAAAATGGAGAGATGTCCCCCAAAGAAAAGCTTGAAGCTAAAGCTTGTCATATGTCCAGCTTTTCCTCAGGGTGCTATCAGATGACACAAAAATATGCCTGCACAGAATCCTCAATAAAATGAGCTAAAGTGTATTTCTATCTTAGCAACTTGTCATATCAAGAAGTCAACATAATATTTGATTTCTGCGAGGGAATTCGTGGCAGAAATGATGAACGTTATGTCTTAACTGTCTGGACATGAATACAACTTCGTAGAATGGAGTAGATATAATCTTCTCATTTCTCCAATTAAGCACAATAAAAACCCAGGACATTACATATAAAACAAGTCCCTAAAAGGTGGAGAGGAGAACTGGGTAGGAGTCTGGGACCTAAGCAAAATGATGAGTCCCCGGACTTTTGTTTTGTTTTGTTCCTGGTTGTGGCTTTGTGTTCCAGACTCAAAACTAAGGAAGCCAGCAACCCAGAAATGCCAAAAGATGCAGACATAAACGTCCCTCCCAGCCTGCTCCTGCTGTGTCCAGCCAAAGCATGAAGGGCAGGTCAACAAGGCAGAAACGTTCAGACAGTACTGCAGCCACACACCACAGAGAAGATGGACAGTGGCCCTGCCAGAAGACCGGGGGCGAGGGGCGAGGCTTCCACCCTTGCCAGGCTGTAATGGGAATCCTTCTACTTCCTGCATTTGAGGTGACACAAGGGGAGCCCATATAGGCCCCCCACTTTCACAGGGTCAGTGGAGAGAACACACAGGAAACAACCTGGAGTCCCACCCCGAAACGTTCATGAGGCTCCCCTCCCCTTCCCGCCGGGTGTGGACAGAACACACTACACTGGCCCCTGACAACAAGCCCACCCTCCCCGCCGGTGTCAGTAGAGACCACATGAAGAACCCAAACTCCATGAGAGGCCCCTGGCCTGGTCACAGTGGAAGCCAAGTGGACAGTCTGGACTTCTCTCTCCACTGGCAGCCATGAGGCAGCTAGGCCCTTCCTCTGCTGGAAAGATGTCCTAGAAAACCAGCTAAGACAGACAAGATAAGTCCCAGTCTCATTACATAATGTAAAAATGCTCAAGTCCGTCAAAAAAAAAAAAATTACTCATCGGGCCTTCCCTGGTGGCGCAGTGGGTTAAAGCACAGCACTAAGAAGCCAAAACCACTTCAGCATGAGTTCAATCCCCAGCCCCGGAGATGACCCACATGGCGCAGCAGACCTCTCCGGACCCACCCGCTGCTCCCCTCAGCAGTGTACTTCCAGTCGGCCTGTTCTGCTCCCCACTCTGTCTCTGGTGAATCCTCTCACCACCCCTGCACCTCTGGCCTAAATCCCAGTTCTATATGCATAAATAAATAAATCTTTAAAAAAAAATCACTCATCATACCAAGAACCAGAAAGATCTCAAAGACAATAAAAAAGATGTTGAGATACCAGATGTTATTTGTGAGATAACTGCATGATCTTAGACAGTTGGATATGCTAGAATTATCTGACAAAGATTTAGCACAGGCATGGTAAATCAATAATTATAAACCTGCATAAAGCAAGTGAAAAAGCAAATTTCAGCAAAGAAATGGAAGATATAATGAAGAACCAAGTGGGAAATTGAGAACTGGAAAACTCAGTAACTGAACTGTAAACCTCAGCGGATAGTGAACAGTGGCATGGCAGGACAGGGAAAAAGCCAAAGTCTGGAAGGTGAACAGTGCTACCTAATCTGACCAATCTGACCAGTAGATAAGAGACTGGGTGCTGGGGACGGTGGGGGTGGGGGGGTACTGCTTGGCACCTCAGGGACCTGTGGGGCTCTGATAGAAAATCTAGTTTTCTTTCTTTTGTCACAGCCCCAGAAGAAAAGGTAGAAGAGACTGGGGCTGAAAAAGTACTCAGAGTTCTACAGGTCTTCTATGTTGAGTGACTCTATACCGGCTCCTTAAAATGGATGGTAAAATTATAGAAATGGAGAACAGATTTGTGGTTTCCAAGAATGAAGGCAGGGCTGGGCACAGCAGCGAGGCAGGTAAAGGTAACACGTCTCCTGTCCCTTGACTCTGCCAGTGTCTGAGTGGTTGAGATATTGCATTATGGTCTGGGAAGATGTCACCACAGGGAACTGGGTCAAGGGCACCCAGGATCTCTTTCCTATTTCTTTAAACTGCTTGTGAATCTACAATGATCTCAGAAGAAAGTTTAATTAAAAGAAAACAGTGTTGAAAGACATGGTCTTTTCAACGCGACAATCGCATTACACTTGGGGCCTCAGGGACAGCGGTAGAATGGGCCGGCTGGCTGCTGCTGGAGCCCCAAGACTGTGCTGGCTGTGCTCACAATTAGAGCCTTCTTTCAGAGGCTTTCAGAGAATTTGCTTTGCTCTGCCAAAATCGAAAAGAAACATCGTCAGTGGGCATTTTCTGTCCATGAATGTCTAATTGCCTTCCCACTGGGTGGCTGGGGAAGGTCACACAGGTCACACGAAGAGGCCTGGCCTGGGAGGGGAGAGAATGTTTGCGGATGTCTTGTGACCCAGTGGAGGCAGCGTATGTGGGCTTGGCGGAGCGGCTGGATCCCACGGGCAGAAGCAGGCTGCGGTGTGTCCCTTGCTCCTAGCAGTGGATACAGTCAAGGACAAGTGGAACGAAGTCAGTCTTTTTGTGTTCATAGAGGCTCTGGGTCTTGTTAAGTGAAATCCGCCCGAACTGAAAGTATCTTAAGCTATGCAGCTACCTGTCTTTTAATATGAAGATGCCCTCAGGTTCTATCCGAAGGGGCCATTTGCAGGACATACGGGTGTCACAGGACAGTCCCTGTGTTTTCATGTTAGCAAAGCTGGCCCCTGCCTCCCCAGCTAAGACCTGTATTGAAATTTTGCTGTGGGGTTGCTTTTAACAAAGTGCAAAGAAGGCATCCTTCCCTGAGAAGCCCTCTCACGGTTCCTCCCTCCCCCAGGGCCACCTGTCTTTCCTCTGAGCTGCCAGAACATTTTGTGTGCATGGGATTCTTTTACAGAATGGTTTCACATACATAAATTGAAAACAATAAAAAATTTCAAAGAAGCCAATGGCATTGAGATAAAGGCATCAAAATAACTTAAAAGGGTGAGCGATTTAATCATTTCTGTGCGTCTTAGTTAACATTAGCACAACCTAGCACAATGTGATGAGGCATCGACCAGAGAGATCCATGGAAGCTGTGCTGTACTCGGAAACTGTTTTATGGTTTCTACAAATGAAGAAATCAGTTTCCACTAGCATCATCAAGATTTTTAGTCTAATTCATCATTGAATGCATTCAAATTTCAGTTTGAGTTCATAAAAAATAAAGATGTAGGCCCTTCCTGGTGGCGCAGTAGGTTAAAGCACAGCACTGAGAAGCTAGAACCACTTCAGCATGAGTTCGATCCCGCCTGCCCCCAGAGGTGACCACAAGGCCCGGCATACCTCTCCTAGCCACCCACTGCTCCCCTCAGCAGTGTACTCCATCAGTCTGCCTGTTCTGCTCCCCACGCTGTCTCTGGTGAATCCTCTCGCCATCCCTGTACCTCTGGCCTGTACCCCAGCTCTGTATGGATAAATAAATAAATCTTAAAAAAAAAAAGTAATTTTTTTCCCACCCAAGTTCATGAACATCTGGAGGTATATGCCAGAAGGGAGGGGGGGTGAGGTTAAGAACTCTTGCCCTCGGGAGCCCAGGGTCAGTAAGTAACATGTAATAGGATCATTTAGAATACATGTTTTTAAAAATGTGAACCAACAGTTGTGCATTAAAATAAGATCCTAGTCCTTTTTACTCTTCAGTCTGTTCTCTTCCCCAGGCTCACCACTACCCCGGCTCCAGTATGTGGCAAAGGTTGGGCCCATAGGGAACATCAGTCATCTTTTATGGACACTGTCATGTCTCTTTGGGGGCCAACAACTTAAGCTGAGATTTTCATGATCAATCCTGATCATTGAAGCTCTGGGATCTCTTAGTACAAAATTCATTATTTGCATGTCCACCGCTAGATGGCGGCAGTGTCTCATGGACGGTCTTTCCCAGCTCTCTGTAACTCATTGATTTTTTAGTTTTATTTAGATCCAGGAAAATCCAAACTCTAGCTCCCGCCTCACCTCCCTCACCTGTGTGGATTTTTATCTCTTAAACGTTATTTATTTTCATTGTGGTAATGTTGGTTTACAATTCCTATATGTTCTAGGTCCATACCTCTTCAAATCAATGTCACCATACCACAAGGAGGTGGGCTTCCCAGAGTCACTGCTGTTTTATGTTGTTCCTCCAGCAGG